GGCTATCATTTCGATGTCCTAGTCCAGGAGCCCTCGGGCCGGACGCGGCGAGCTCCCTTCACTCTCCTCGGCTGGAGACATGAGGACGAGCACCGCTCTGCAGGTGCTGGGCTTCCTCCTCGGCCTGGCCCGGGGCTCCGAGGTGGGCAGCTCGCAGGCAGGTAAGTGGCGCGGGAGCACAGGCAGGTTTGCAGCCTGGGAGCCCCACCCCAGTGCGCGCCATCCCTGAAAGCAGGACGGAGTCTCAGGAGGAGTGGGGCTGGGGGTGCTGACCACGGGTCCGTTGGGACCACCTGGGAGGGCGGGCAGCCAGGCTTGGGTTCTCGGAGTGGGGCGGGCGAGGACCACATTCCTGGGCCCCACTCCCTTCCCCAAAGCGTCGCAGACCCTCTGATTGCTGTCCCCTGATAAGGCTGATGCCGAAACAGTAGTTCACACTTGTGAGGGGCCCTGCAGGAGTGGAACCGGGACCTCCATTCTGTAAACGCGAGGAAACGGTTGGAGGTGGGGATCTTGGCCGCATTTGCAGTTTGATTCTTGCTTTGCTAACCAGCCCCCTGCCCCCCATTTCGCCCCAGGTTTCGGCCACCCTCAGTTTCGTTGTTTTGGTGTCAGGGCGGAGCTATGGAGGGTTGGAGGGGGTTGTTGTTCTCTGGTGTTGGAAAAACAGGAGCGGCACCTCCTCTTCCGTGAGTGGGCCTGCCCTCCTGAGATTAACCAGAGGGCCAAGTCCAGGTGACATCAGGGTGAGAGCCCCAACAGAGACTGGTTGCCTGCTTTCCCTAAGTAATAAAGCTGGCTGGTCCCCACTTTGACCCATCTCTGTCAAGACCCGGGTCAATTCAATGACTATTTATTGAGCATCTACTACACATTGGACCCGGCCTTGAACCAAGAGCTGTAGGAACCAAGACATCCAGCCCTTATCTCCCTCCCCAGCCTGACACAAGAGGACCCCCTTCCCACCTTCTGCACCTCTGTCCTGGGGAGTCTTCCTGGGCCCAGCTTCTGCCCCTTCCAGACCTGTTTATGGTCTGTTTCTTCTCTGTTCTTCCTCCCACTCCCATGCCATCTGAGTTTATCCCTTTGGGGTGTTTCTGGGACCCTGGACACCTGAGGGGTTTTTCTGTTGCTGGGATTGGAATCTTGTCACTCTCCCCTCCCCCTAGATCTCAGCCTGGGCTTTGGCACAGCCTGGGCCCCTGCCCCAGGGTGGGAGTAGGAGAAACCACCTGTGCTTCCCCCACAGTTGCTGGGCCTAAATTTAGACCCTGGGATCTTGAGATGTGAACACTCCCAGCTGGTGGAGGGGGTGGTCTGGGGAGGGAAGTAGGAGGGACGGGTGGAGTGACTATGTCACTGTCCCATCCAGACCCTGAAACCTTCAACCAGGAACCCAGGAGCCCCAGATTCTGGCCACCTTCCCTGGGGGAGGCAGGAGGCAGGCATGGTTGGGTCTCTTTACCCTTTATCTGGATCCTGCAGCCTCTGGGCATCCGGCCCTGTCTCGGTCCTTCTATAGCCCCTTTGTCCCTGCTCTGATGGGGGTGGGGGATGTTGGAGGGGTGAGATTCTTGCTCTGTCCCTGTCCCACTCCTGGTGCTCTCCACCAAAGGAGGGCCTTGACGCTGTACCCCGCTATTGTCTGGTCTCGTACAACCAGGATTTTTATAATTCCCTCTCCCTGGTCTGCTCCCCAAGCTGCCTGTTTCCTTCCCAGATGTGTTGTTTATGCTTCACTCGTCCCCAGGCCCTTTGCCCTCTGTCTGTGTAATGTGACTTTACCCTGAGGGTGGCAGAGATCTGGGACCTCGAATACTATAACCTGCCAGCACAGACATGAAGCCTGCACACAGCGCTGGGCAGGCAGGATGGATGGGGCCACCTGAAACACCTCTGATAAGGAAACCAAGGACAGACCAGCCCAGCGTCTGGGCCAGCAGGGAGCGGTGTCCATGTCTGTGTGCGTCACGTATATGTGTGCGTGCACAAACACACACACACACACACCACTTCCCCGTGCATAAATCTTGGCTCCTCCTTTATCTGGGGAGAACGGTTGGCGCCTTAACTTGGAAGAGGGGGTGTCCTGCCAGGAAGGGGTTTGGGGTGGGGCTGTTCCAGAAATGACTAACCTTCCTAGTCTCTTTCATTTCAGCCCAAGGACCCTAGAGTTCCCAGCCTATTTAACCCTCTTTGCTGGGACTAGTCCACCCCTTCCCTTTGTGGGGTGTGGTAGGAAAGGGGAGCCCTTGAGGATCAAGTGGTCAGACTAGGGGTGTTACTTAGTAGAAGAAGCTGGGCTCTCACCAGCCTCCCCCTCTTCATTCCCATTCCTGCCTCCCACTGACCTGCCACTGCCTCAGGGAAGGGTGGTTGGAACAGGTGGTATTTACCTCCCTCTTCCCCACCCTCCCACACAGGCTTTCTCTGAGCAAGAGGAAAGACAGGGATAGGGCTCCAGGGTCCAAGGTTTCCCAGAGCTCCTTGTCCTCCACCTTAGCAGGCCGCCGTGCCTCAGGTGCCTCTAGTCCCGGTAGCTCCCATCCCCTCTTCCCTGTGCAGGGGAGCCTTGTCAAAAGTGCCTTTTTTTTTTTTTAAGAATTATTTATTTACTTTTATTTTAATTTGACCAGAGAGATACACAGAGAGAGAGAGAGAAAGAGGGAAAGTGAGAAAGCAAGCCACCAGGTCTGGGACTGGAACCATGGTCAGCCATGTGGGAGTGTCCAGTGCCTTAACCACCACGCCACCTGCTGGTCCCGAAAGTGTCTTTTTTTTTTCCTTTTTCTTTTTGTGGAGAGGTTTTTGCTATAGGGTGCGTGCACTCGCCAGACAGACAGAGACAGACAGAGAGACAGAAAGTGAGAAATCACCCCCCAGGAGGGATGGCCACGTCGCAATCCCTTCTCCTCCATTCTCCTCTTGGGATCATGCACACGCGCCCGGCGTGAGTTTAAGCCACTGGGTCCGGGACTCGAACCGCTGTCGCCTACGTGGGAGTCCAGCGACATAGCCATTACATTAACTGCTGGTCTCACCAAAAGTGTCTTTAATGAAGCTCTTCTAACAGTAAAGTTGGGGGAAGACCTAGAATGGGAGGCCTGGCTCTAGGCTTCTCTATATTTGCTGGAAACAGGACAAAAAGTGATGCTGAGGCACATGGAGTGTGTTGGGGTAGAAGGGAGTAAGAAGGAAAGCCAGATTTGGGGGGGGGCAACCAGCTAGCTCCTTATCTTGCCCCTTTAAAGACAAAGGTCCCATTGACACCCCCCACCAGAGCTCCCCCCTCTAGTGAGGTCACTTGTCTGAGCCCAAAGCTTGAGGGTGGGAGGGGGTGCTGCTGCGGACAGGGTGTCTGGGGACAGGGTGGGGCAGCCCCCTCCTCCTGGATAGAATCGCCTCATTGTGGGCTGGACTGTGGCCCTAGGCACTGCCCCCACCTCTGCCCCCATCCCACCCTCAGTGGACACAATAGGGGCTGTGTGCTGGCCCCAAAGAGATATTTATTCCAGGACCTAGAGAGAGGCAGGATGGGGTAGAGAAGTGAGTGCCCTAGTTGGAGGGAAAG